GGCATTGAGTCAAGAATTTAGACACAGGGAACAGTGAGATTTGTGACCGGACGGAATTTGTGTTACTGAGGTATGCCTTTCTCATTTCCATAGTTTTCATGACCGATTATTGAAGGTCTCACACCCATACACATGGATATGACTTATCGCAGTGCGTTTTTGTCATACAAAATCTAAAAAAAAGAAAACCAAAACTCCCGGACTGCATCAGGATGAGGCAAAATTATATCTTCAAACAAATAATCAATTCATTATTTACGTAAAAATGATAAAAAAACACTTTCAAATCCTGACGGGGCCCTAAAATCGCCCACAATGATAAAGTAGCGCCGCGGTGAAAAGATTTTATCTTTGCTTGTTGAAACGATAAAAGGTAGGATGGATCGCACAGTTTAGATGGTCTCCAAAAAGGTGACCATACTACTCTTTTTGGAGGAAACCAAATATTTTGCAATTTTTTACCAGTTTAAGTGGAAGACTGCTTGGATCTACTTTTATACAAAAAAGGATGACGAACTTACCAAACGAAAGCCATAGAATACTTGTACTGTACATTGTAAAACCAATCAACCGTGTTTCATTGAAATTTTCTGGAATCTTCCGGGTTTTGAATGCGTATAGTGTACAAGCGATAATTAGAAGCATATTGTACAACAATGAGATCAGCAAATGAGACGCTGTAGCTTTACACGTTAGTATCGCTTCTGTTCGTGACGGAAATAGAACGGCTGTGCCTGGCTGATCAACAATCAACCAAACCAGCGAACCAATCACTTGCAGGGATACAATACCAATACAGATCGCCACCTGAATACATGTAAATCTATTGACAACTCAGTGTCTTCGGCATTTGTTCAGCCGCTTCTTAGAGCCTGATAAGGAAGCTTAGTCAATAAACTAGCATTGATTCAAAACCCTAACGTTTAGCCTCTCAACCTCACTGAATGTTGAATTTTGAATTCAGGTGAGAGAAGATAAAATTTGAGGACAAAATCTAAATGTGTTACTGAACAAGCGTGCATATTTGCTTTCCACTGACAGATATGCACAAAAACACGCAGCCAAATCGATACTGCAATGCGTACTGCTGTTTTATATTCATGCGATACATATCCTGAAGGCATAGGGAGAGTTTTTGCCAGCGCTTGATGACTGACTGGGTGTAGCTGGCTGAGTCGTACTGAACAGACTTGTCATTTAAGCTTTTGGGTAAAACGGTGATATTGCTACATTTGATGTTTGTTCAGGACATTCATGTAAATTGTGGGACGCAGCTGCTTGTACGACTTAACATCTGAACCACAATATAATTTTTAGTTTACTGCATGCGCATACGTGTGGAAGCATGACCTCACCAAAATACTTTTTGGCTGAGTACAAATGTAAAACAAGGGAAGAAGTGAACCTGGGCACTTGGTACGATGCACCCTGGTCGTGCAGCACTCTGAATTGAAAAAACTCTGGCCAAGCGGTTTGTTTTCGTTAAAATGGCGGCGTAAATGGCAGACATTGATAAGCCGATGAGCACCCGTGATGCAGCACATATTGCGACATTTGGCTTTGAGACAAGCAAAAAAGTTACTAAATAGCACAATAAAATCCCGCCTAACATACAATAGCACAGTTCACGGCCCGATGCCATTATTACTGGTGTCGAACTGTATCGAATAAATACCTGAAAATTAATGGAGGTCAATAGCTGAGCTCACATTACTACCCGAGCCGGTGGCAAATTGCTAGCTTGCATCTTTAGCTCCCTTTAGCTATTTGCCCAGGGAGCAGCTTGTCAAAAATTGCAAGTCTGTTGTGAAATGCGCAAAAGTAAATGGGAAGGTGTATAGAACAAATATAACACTTCACAAACAGTTGCAGCAACACTGCCACTACTATTTATAAAGCGCTGCAAAAAGAAGATTTTTGTGTCCGATTAAAATCCTAGGATAAACATAATTACTAAAACTGTAAGACAAACATCGGAACTATTCGAAATGGAACTATTCACTTAGGAAACTTTGATGAAAAGACAATTTTAACACTTTCATTGGGAGAATGGCAAGAAAATGGCTTGTGAGGTTCCAAATAATTGAGCAGCGCAAAGCAATTACTGGTGTCTCACATATGAAACACAAAAGCGTTTTCAATAATTTTTTTTTGAACTGATGAAAAAGGGAAGCTTTTTGTGATTTGTTAAAAAAACACCCAGGCTGGGACGCACCAGGCGAGCCGGTGCGATCATGCGTTTTTGCACCAAACTTTGAGGTAC